GCCGCAGGTGTTGAGCAGGTAGCGCCAGGGCACGGCCGAGGCCAGCAGGTCTCTCATGCAGTGGAGGTCGGCCCGCAGGCGGGAGGCACCGCCATAGACCACCCGCTCCGCCCGGGAGGCGAGGAAGGCGTTGGGGAAGCAGCCCACCAGGCGCCCCACCGCCTGCCGGAAGGGGGCCGGCGCCTTGGCGTCCACGTGGACGCAGTAGACGTTTTGGGGCATGTACACTGCCCTGAAGAGCCGCTCAAAGGTCTCGAACTCCTTGTGCAGGGTCATGATGTAGGCGATGGGGAAGGCAGCCTCCTCGGCCGAGAGGGCGCGGGTGATGTAGTGGTTCTGCGTGATGTACTCCATGCAACTGGATTCTCTGAATGATGTTTTTAAAGTGTTTTCCTTCAGAAAGGGCGCCTTACCTTCAATAAGTGCTTTACAGGCTTCTGCTAAAGTTGAACTCGCCGAGAAGTTCAGCCTCTTAAGAGATTTTTCTGCATGCAAATTAACAGCATAGAAAACAAATGGAAGTGAAGCACTGAGAATCAGGACAGCGAAGAAGCAATATCTAAGTGTATTCATTGCTGCTCAGAGAAAGTCTCACTTGAAATATTGCAAAGAGGTCAGATCAGACACCACAAACAGCTTGTTTTGCTGGCTGCGCTTGCTTCCTGCTGGAGAACGCATGCGTCTGTTTAATGCATAGTATGCATCTGCTGTCCTTACTTTCAATATTAATAGTTTCGTAGTCATCGTTGATGTGGAAGCAGCATAAGCAGCAAACAACTTGCAGATGGAAGCTGCTCCACAGCAACCTGAAGATTAAACAGACACATTGCATAATTACTGCCTTGGCAATGAACAGCCAGCACTACATATTCCACAATGTCCCTGAATTGAATTTATGAGTATGTTCTTAACTGCTCCCCCCCACACTCTCCCTGCATGTATCATATAGCTGTAAAACTTCCTGTGCATGCACCTTGTGACAGGAAAACCTCATATTTACCTCTTGTATCGTTCTATTTTTCACTTACAGGAATTTTTTTTTGAACCACCCAAGTGTATCAGTCATCGCTGCTTCAGAATTATGAAAGGCTTGTTCAGCGCACTGTGCTACCATGTAAGACCACCAACGCTCACGTATAAGAAGCAGGAGAGTCTTTTTTCCTCTGTGTAGAGTTATATCAGAGCCATCAGGTTTTTGCAGCAATGTTTTCTTCATTTGTAAATTTGAAATCTGCCAAATAGTTTCTGCTAAGTAATGGATGAGTTGTGACGAGCTCTGGGCTTACATCCATCACAACTGGGTTAGCAAAACCTGCTATTTAAACTACTTAAGCTAACCTTAGGCTTTCTGAGCCTGAATGATGAGACATTCTTCTTTTTAAGAGCCGTGCATGCATTTGGTATAACAACATGACTGTGCAATGAGAGCTCCTGGCATGGCTAAAGTGAAACACTTGGTAACTCTCCCCCTTCCAACTCTGAGTCTATTCATGTGGATCTGCTGCCATGAGACAGCACGCTTAGAGCACTTTTTCCAGCATCATGTCATTTTGCTCCAACATGGAGTAATGCTGAGGCAATATCAGATGATCTGAGATTACACCAATAAATATTTTGACTGGGCAGTCCAGCGTGCTACAGAAGCAGAAATACCACCACCTACCTTCCAGCTCATGCAGACAAGCCACCTCAGGTGCTGGCAGGTCCCTCCCAGAAGCTGCACTTTCCTACCAAACTGACCCCAATGTCTTCCCACCTGCTCACTGGGCCAGCTGGCTGCAAAACCATTTCTTGCCCTGTGCCATGGTCTTAACATGAGACCTCCATCCAGCTGGAGTTAGGAAAATGTGGAAGGAGGAAAACTGGGGGCAGGTGCCAGCATT